CTCACTCCTGAAGACTGCAGTGAAGCGGTGCAGGTGCACATGTGTGAGATCTGAGACAGAGAAGGAGGTACAGTAATAGGAAAATTACCATATTGAAATCAAATCTGATGCTTTTTTAAAAAAAAATGGAAGAGGGGTAGTCTTATATGGCGAATATATCCCAAACTCTATATTTTAACTGGAAAAGTTGGGGGTCATCTTATATGCCCAGTCGTCTTATATGCCGGAATATATGGTAGATCTCTATCTGTGTGTGTTGGAACCACCCAAACTGGGCTCTACAGGCCAATGGATACTCCACCTCAGACATCAGAAGAGCTGCAAGACCGAGAACATGCCACGAGAGTAAAGACAAAGCTCCACCCAGAGGAAAAGTGTTCTTGCCATACATCAAGGGAACCACTGACCGCATAGGGAAACTGATGAGGAAACACAACATACAAACTATCTACAGACCCACCAAGAAAATCCAACAAATGTTACATTCAGCAAAGGACAAGAGGGATCCTCTCACTTCTGCAGGAGTCTACCGTATACCATGCAGCTGTGGACAAGTCTACATAGGGACCACCAAACGCAGCGCCCAAACACAAATCAAGGAGCATGAAATGCACTGCAGACTACTTCAGCCAGAGAAGTCAGCCATAGCAGAGCACCTGATGAACCAACCTGGACACAGCATATTATTTGAGAATACAGAAATGCTGGACCACTCTCACAACCACCATGTCAGACTACACAGAGAAGCCATTGAAATCTACAAGCATGTGGACAATTTCAACAGAAAGGAAGAAACCATGAAAATGAACAAAATCTGGCTACCAGTATTAAAAAAACTCTAAAATTACAAGAGCAAAACAACAGAGAGGAAACAATCAGGGACAGCTAATCACCTCTCAACATTTTGTTTCCCCTAAGCACTAACAAGCCACACCAAAAAACTGCCAGGCCATCAAATGCTGATCAAGGTGGCCAGTTGAAACATTCATACCTAGTTCCAAAAGACAAGAGCTCTTTGTCCCACCCTGGACATTCCACAGAGATATAAACCCAATTTTTCTAGTTCCAATAGACCTCACTACCTCTGAGGATGCTTGCCATAGATGCAGGTGAAACGTCAGGAGAGAATGGCTCTAGAACATGGCCATATAGCCCGAAAAAACTACTACAAACCTGAGAAGCACATTATACAAATGTATACAAGTGACTTTGAATGCACTCTGTAGAAAAATACATAGTATCTTGCATATTTGTTCCACTCAAAATCTGCTTAAAACAGAGTAGATAAAAACATCTGACCTGTTGAAATACATGTGGGGCCAATTATGTCTGATTCGTACATCACTACTGCTGATAAATGTGATGCCAAGTTGGAGTGATCCCTTAGATACAGGCAGTAGAAAGAAACCGTATTTCTAAGCAGGCAAAAACTTGCACTCTGTTCTACCTCCCACATAGTTTAAAGAAGCAGCATTTCTGGAGAGAAATGGGCCAGGCCAAAGATTTAAGCAATGGCAGTTCTCCATTCGCTTTGTTCCAACCTGCCTGACTGTTGCTGACAAGGGGCTTTGTCTATGTTCTGGGAGTGTTCCTACCTTTCTTCCCTTAGGAAGGCAAAGGCCTGATTTAGTGAGCCAACATAGAAACAATAGTTAGGGTTTGGTGTTAAAATGGGACCTAAACTTTTTGAGTTTAACTTTCCACTGAGCTATAAAACTACTGGGAGACCTTGCTCTGTTTAATCTCTCTCAGCCTGATTTGCCAGCCAAGATTATTGTGAAACTATTTTTGAAAGAAGCATAACTGTGTATGCTACTTTTAAGTTCACTGAAAGAAAAACACGATGTAAATGTAACTAATACTGAAATAAAGCAATGAAAGCAACCTCTGAGGATGCTTGCCATAGGTACAGGTGAAACGTCAGGAGAGAATGCTTCTAGAACATGGCCATATAGTCCGAAAAACATACAAGAACCCAACAGTCTTATAGTCTGTCCTCCCCAAGGACCATAGCAGAGATGTGATTTTGGCAGAGAGAGATGCATAAGGAATGTCAGGTATCTCTATACTGCAAGTCACGTCAAGACATGCGAGTGTGGGGAAGAGCAAACCAAAGACCACCTACTAAAAATGCAACCTGAGCCCTGCCACATGCAGAATTGGGGACCTTCTCACAGTGACATCAGAGACACTCCCAGCGGCCAGTTTCTGGTCAAAGGACATTTAGCAGAATGCCAAGTTTTTAATTTTTGTTTGCATTTTTAAATGCATTTTAACTGTACCCTCAACTTGCTTCTGACACGATAAATAAAGTTATATAGCGTAAATATCCCAAAAGCTCCTTAATCTTGGAAGCTAAGAAGGTCAGCTCCCATTTGGATGGAAAACCACCAACATATTCCAAGTGCTGTAGACTGTATTTCAGAGTAAGGAACTGATAAAACCAACTCTGAGTATTCCTTATCTAAGAAAACGCTATGAAATTGTAGGGATTCCTATAAGTTGATAAGTGACTTCAAGATACAGAGAGAGTAGATGAAGAAATCCTAAATGCACACGGAGGAGCTGAGAAGGGTGAAACTATAAGGTAGGAGTACCATCTATGCAGAAATTCTCCTATGGTCTGCACATCTACATGTGTGATGTTTTGGTTGTGGTAGGTAGAGGAATTCCACACCACCACCCCCACTTCGCACCACCACCAGAGATCTGCTTGTTGGCACATTGGTGCTTCAACACAGAAGATGTGGCAATGAAGAGACCTGCTTTGCTCTAGTCTAAATGTTTTAACTACAACTGTCATTGTAGCAGCAAGATAAATGGTAAACTATTTGTGTTATACCATAGGAATTCTACATCACAAGATAGAAATTCAGAATTAGCTGTCTTCCTCCTTATCCCCAATAGAGAATAAGCTAACGTGTTGCAAGGATATACCACAGTTTTGGTGCATTGTCAAAGCAGGAAAAAAACATTTTTACCAGAATTTAGTGATAATTGTTGGATGTTTTCATCACTGATAACATATATAATAGGAGACTGGCATATATTCCAACCAAATTGAAATAGGAAGCCAGAAAATTTATTTTGGAAAGCAACAAACTGTAACTGTTATTCTGTACATGTGGAGACATAACTGAAACCCATGCTGGCATTTATAACATTTTTTGTTATGGTGGAAGGAGAACTTCAGCTCATCTACCATACTTCACAACTGTACCAATTTAGTTGGGACAATTCTGATTAATTTCATGCCATCCCACTTTTCCAGCTGTTTTAAAATGCCCCAGTTTCTATCTCCTCCTCCCATTGTCACCCTTTGGCCTCAGCATACTTCAGTTGCTGCAAATGGAGCTCAAAATGCAAAAATAGTTTGCATTCCAATAACACAAAGAGGAGAAATGAGAGGGCATTTACCATCTTGGCCATACCCTTGACCATATATGCTACTTGACCATATATGTTTTATTACTGAAATTCTGAACAGTGTGGTCTACTGCTACTCTCCCCCTGAACTTCTCAGAGGTTTATCTTCCTGCAATCAGCCGCAGGGGCAAAACAGGGTGGCTGCTTGGTCACCCTTCATCTTCTTTTGGTACTAAATGCCTGCCGGGAGAAGGAGGGACCAACCTGCAGACAAGTACAAAAAAATTGGGGAGTGGGATGAAACTCAATTACACTCTGGAGAACCTTACAACCTTACAGTCCTCCAGTGCAATGCAGAATCTCAGCCTATATATATGCAAAACCATCCTATCTGGTTAGTGGATATAGGACAGGGGTGGAAGTTATGTCATCTCATTTCCATTCCCTAGAGGCAAAAAACCCCCCCAAAAAATCCATACGTCAGGAGAGAATGCCTCTAGACCATGGCCATATAGCCCGAAAAAACCTACAACAACCCAAGCAATCCATAGTTTTCCAAGTGGAAAGGAAGAGAAAACAACATTTCTCACTAGCTTCAAAATGTTGATCCCATTTACTTAAATTACAGTTTCATGTTTAGCATGAAATAAAGCCATCAATCATAGAGTTGGAAGATAACACACTGGCCATCCAATCCAACACCTGCCATGTAAGAATACACAATCAAAGCCCTCCCAACAGATGACCACCTACTCACTGCTTTAAAAATTTCAAAGAAGGAGACCTCGTTGCACTTAGAAGTAGCTTTTAAGGTTTAATAACATGAATCTTTACATTATTTCTTAAACTAAGAATATTCAATTTGGCTCTCTGGGGCAAGCTACTTTTAGATCATAAAGCAATAACATTTTTAAATATGGTAAACAGACCTTTCTTGAGTTTCTGTGGAGGAGACAGGAGCAGGGGTTAGTGGGGAAGGCAAAATTAGGGCATTCCCTCCATCAAAAGTCTCCTCCTCCCAGGAAAGTCTCTTGCAGTAATCACCATCTCTGCAGTAACTTCAAATTCAGTTGCACATTATGGCATTGGGTTTCAGCATCCAAAAAAAACAGACAGGCAAGGACACCGAGAAATACTAACAAAATGAATATTGCAGTTCTAGGTCTGAATGATTTCCACTCACTGTCTGTAATGCTAGAAATGTGAGTAAAATGTCATTAGTGGGACGAAATTACTATTTGGGAAACAAATACCACCCCCACCACTACCCCCGTAGCTTGACCCTTTGATAGAAGGCTTTAAACTTTGGTTCCCTGATGTAGCTTCAGTCCAGATTCTGAACCTCAGAAGTGACCTTTGGTAGATAAGTTTTCATTAGCACGAGCAGTGAATTGTGTGAATGGTGTGTGTCACATCAATTTTGACCTTCTGACTCCACAAGAGAACTTCCACATCTCTCCTTGCTGGGAAATGATGAAGCCAAAAAGGCAATCCCAGATGGGGAAATGTGACAGTTCTATTTTGGATGAAAACAAGACATGCACACTTCCTATTCCCTCTGCATCCAGGTCACATCTGTGGCTGCTCCTGCTTGCCTGTGGAGAAAAAAAGCAATGAATGAACAAATTCCTCACCGTGGTGACATCATACCAGGAAAATAGTCACTGCTTGGCTGCTTTCAACAGAGATTTCCACCTAAGGAGGAAAAAGAGTATGTGAGGAGGAAGATTTTTAAAGGGAGATAAGCAAAATATGTCTATGAGCAGAACTATGGAAAGAGGGGAAGAGTGTTTTCCTTTGCTTGCACACTCATGTGCCCACTCGCACGCACACCTGCTCCCCTTGTTGTTTCTGTTATTGTTCCCAACATCCTGTGTTTGATTTGCAATTTGTAAAGCTCCTTTGACATACTGACTGGGAGTGTTTGCTGTGGCTGCCACAGCTGCGTGAAAGGCAGGAATGAGCACACTCAAGGTCAGGCAGCTGGGACGCAAGGGCTCCTATTTCTCTTACCATTTACCTGCTGCGCAACATCTCTGCAGAACTTGGCCATCATAAGCAGGCATGTCATGTTCCCTTTCCATCCCATGGAGCATTTTTAATGCTCTTCTCCACCTTCTTCTGCCTCTTCCTCAAACACAGTCTCAAAAGGGAAAGGTTTTCTCTTTTTTTCAGTTGCTCTGGTCATACTCTGAATAAAGTCACAGGGCAGAACAGCTGCGGAACTTAATTTAGCTTCTCAGTAATGAATTCATTCAGCTCATTGATATGCGAGACATGATTAAGTACCCACAACTTTCAAGTAAGATCCAAACCCCCCCCACCCCAAAAAAAAAACCCTCGATCTTTTAAAATGGAATGAGTGTGCAGTCAATTTAGACCTGAGAGGCTTGCGTGACATTTGAAAAGTATCCACTTTGGTGCACGAAGAGTTAGTGATGAGTGGGAGGCATTGCTATAAAGAGCAGGGAAATGCAGACTGAAGCTAGACAGATTTCAGGCCATGTGTTAGAAAATTGTTATGATCGGCTGTTTCTGGACTTTGGAAACTGTGAATGAAGGGAAGATACTGGCTTGGTTCCTACCTTTCTTTCTTAATGAAAGTGGGTTCAAACTGGGAATCTTTTCACACCTCCCAGGAGCAGGCACCAGATGTTTCACAATCGTTTGAGTAGTTTAGGACACAGTCCAACTTTGAGTCAAAATATATTGTGGACAAAATCCAAAAGACTAAACCTTTCCAAAAACATTCAGACTAGGTGATCAACTATTCATACATGGAGATGGAAACATGATTTGGGGGGATTCCGTTTCAATTACAGTGCAATTCGAATGGAGGGCAGCATTGCTTCCAATTTGTTCTTGACTTTTTACTTCAGCATGATGCCACCCACACTAGAGATGGGGGAAACATTCAGCTTTGGTTTCTCTCAATTTATCATTTTTCCTGGTTTAAATTTGTTCCATTCCATTTCTGCAACCTTTTCCTATTTTAAAAAGCTCTGAACAACAACAAAAGATGTACATTTTTCTATGCATCTTTCCTAACTTATACACTTTTTTCAGTTTCCCATGTTGTAATGTTGTTTTGTATTTTTTTTTTCCTGATATATGCAATTTTATGTGCACTTTCCCATACTAATTGTAAAAAAAATTATGCAACATAAGCATTCTGGAAAACATATTTTCTTCAGAGAACTGGTAGAGGTTCTGAGAAGTGTGAATACAGAAGGTTAATTGTGCTCTGATTCATATATTGATTCAGAAAGTGCAAACTGAGTATGTCCTTATTGAAATGCAAACTAAATGCAATTATCCTCTGTTCCTGTCACCTGTATGCTTATTGAATAACTAAGTACAATACCCTTGCCCTGCCATTGCACTTCCTTGCTTGCACAAACCCCACCCTGGGGCTGCTTAGTTGATAGCAGTGTGAAGGGGTCCTGAATACTCACAGAAACATATAAACCTCTACCATGTCTGTGTAAAAAACCTTGATCAAATTTCTCACTTACGAGGAAGGTGAAGTCTAGTTTGATACTCATTGTCCCCTTTTCTAGCATCACTGAATACAAAATCGTGAGGATTATGATCAAAAGGACCAATGGCAGGAGCCTTTCAAAGTATAATAATAATTCTAGAACATGTCTTATTTTCTATACTGCTTGGCAAAAAGATAAAGTCCATTAAACAGCACACCATTACAAGCCCTTTCACTACATTCCTAAAAACCTATTGGAAGAACAGACCAAACTCCTGTTTAACCTAGCTTCCTGTCCTTACAGTGGTCAGCCAGGTGCCCATGAGGAGCCTACAAGGAAGAAATGAGCCGGAGGTAGGACAGTCATGTTCTCCAGCAGTTCATCCTCAGAGCCATAGCAGGGATGGTTGGATGTTAAATCAAGATCTCTTAGAAGATTGGCAAAAGATTAGCAAGCATTTCTGGTTGTTCATTAGGAGCACCCACAAGAAAAACCTTTTCTACCTCTCCTGCCTTCAAGTCATTTCTGACCAATGGTGGTCCTAAAGGGAACTTACCACAGGGATTTCTGAGGCTAAGAGTGTGTAACTTGCCCAAGGGAGTTGAACACTGATCTCCAGAATCATATCCCAATGCTCATGCTACTACCATTGTAACCATCTTAAAATAGTACAGTGTAGTGAGAAGAGATTTGAATAACTATGGATGAGTTTTCCTTTGTAAAGGAAGGAAACTGAGTTTGTTTCATTCTAGGGGTGCTTTCACACCTGACAATTGTAACACTATATTTTACCACTTTAATTGTTCCATCTTGTGCTTGTAGTTTTGTGAGGCATTCAAGTTCTCAGGCTGGGAGTTCCAAATACCGTTCCTTAAACTGCAAACTCCAGGGTTTCAAGGTACCATTCCACTTAAAGTGGAATTGCATCAGTAAGCAAAACAAACATCTCAAAATTCAGATTGCATTTATATTTGTCTTGTACACCTGAACCATACTGATAACTCTCAGGGGCCTCTAATAATAAAACAAAGTAGATTTTGTGTGTCTGAACACTGCCTCACAAATCACCAAGTCTAGATTAAACCTCCATGAAGTTTTCTGTATAGTATGTTACTGAATAAAGAAAATGGCGCAGTAAATGGTGTCATCTTGGTTATTTGAGTTTTGTTCACTGGGACCACAGAACTGCCAAGGATTTTAATATCTCATTTCCACATTCTCTTTAGACAGAAGAACAAATAATTATGGACTTCAGTACCACATAACTTACTCTGCCTTTTGGAACCAGAGTGCTAAAGCCCAAGAGCACATTCCAATGATTCATCAGGCCAGACGAAGATTCATAATACTGCTCCCTCTTATCATTTGCCCTGATCAAGAGTCAGCAGCTGAACTTAACATAAAGCCTCATGTAAAATTTACAGAGCTGTTGCTAGGGTCCTTTGTTCTGTACCAATATTTATTGCTTTTGCATAAAATATGATTTTCCAAATACACATGAAGTACATGCACAGTAGGATACAAAAAAGATAAATCAGATAATATTAATCTCTCAGCTTTTTTCTCAACAATGAAGAAAGAGAGAAAAGGGGTTGTTTTTCTTCTTTCAATCAGCTGCTTTTTTGAGAGGCAAACAAGCAGAAGAGTTGATGGCAAGGGGACTGTCTTGCAGAAGAAAGAGATGGGGCCAACTCAAAGAAACTGGTAATGTAGTCCTTTGAGTGGTTTGTTGCTTCTCCTTTCTCCCCTCATTGTTGTTATTAACTGCTATCGAGTCAACTTTGACCTATGGCAAACCTATGGATGAGAGATCTCCAAGTCACCCCACCTTTAACCATCCTGCTTCAGTGTTAAAGACCGAGGGCTTCTATAATTGCCTATCCATTTGTAATGTGGTTTTCCTTTTGCCCTACTGCAGTAGTTCTCAACTTGTGGATCCCCAGGTGTTTTGGCCTATAACTCCTAGAAATTCCAGCCAGTTTACCAGCTGTTAAGATTTCTGGGAGTTGAAGGCCAAAATATCTGGGTCCCCATAAGTTGACAACCACTGCCCTACTGCCTTTTACCTTACTAAGCATTGTTGTCTTTTTTAGTGAGTTGTTTCTTCCCATATATGAATTAGCCATCTTGGCTTGTAGGGAGAGTTGAGGGCTGTTTTGTTCGAGAGCTGATTTATTTGTCTTTTTAACAGTCTACAGTATCCACAGACCTCTTTTCCAATGGCACATTTAAAATAATTAATTTTCTTCGTAACAGCTTTCTTCACTATCCAGCTTTCACAACCTTTCATAAAAACTGGAAATATAATGGCATGGATTTAATATTTGGTTTTGCACTTCAAGATTTTCCTTAGTTCCTTCATAGCTGCTCTTCCATGTCCTGGTCTTCTGGTTTCTTGACTGCAATCTCAATTCTGATGGATGGTGGAGCCAAAGTATGGAAAATCTTTAATTCTTTCAGTATCTCTACTGTCTCCTTTAAAGTTATGTAGACCATCTGCAATCATTATTTATGTTTTCCTAATGTTCACATGCAAACTTGCTTTTGTACGTTCTTCCTCAACTTTCTTCAATAACTGTTCTAAGTCTTTGCTATTTTTTCCTAGTAGTATCTGTGCATCTTAAATTGTTGGTATTCCTTCCTCCAATTTTCATAGTGCCTTCCTCTGAGCTTAACCCTGCTTTATGCATATGCTTAGCATACCATGTAAATAGATGGTGTGATAAAATGCCGCTTTGCCTGTCCACCTTGACAACTGGAAACCATTTAATTTCTTCATATTTTGGAATGACAGTGGCTTCTGAATACAGGTTATACATCAGGGCAATCAAATGTTGTGGCACACTCATTTCTTTAGTAATAGCAATTGGTTTTTCATAATCTATACAATCAAAGTCTAGAAAGCATAGGTTAATTTTCTTTTGAAATTGTTTTTCTCCTTATCACCCCAAATACAGAACCAGCCATTCTTGTGCAAGTTAAAGAGCAACAACTCCCCTAAACGTGTTTCTCAAGACAGCATGACTATTCAAGTATTCGTGTTTATTAATGGTGATGAGCAGGACCTTTCTGAGGCTCCATCTACACTGCCATATAATGCAGTTTCAGAATACTGCATTAAGTCTACACTTATCTGAGTCTATACTGTCATGTAATGCAGATCAATGCAGTTAAACTGCATTCTGAAACTGCATTATATGGCAGTGTATATCCAGCCTAAGTTGACTCA